AAAAAGAGCATCAAAAAGGAACTTGAAAATAACAAGAAAAAAATTTTTTTCTTGGAATGCAAAATTAATTTAGTTAGTAAATATGAATCATCAAAAAACGTTTGGTAGTTGCATTACAACAAATACAGAAGCATTCATGTCATAAGATGTGAATATTTCTTAATCTGGTACATTTTCTTCCCCTTTTCTGCTAAACAATATTTCCTTCTTATAGTACAATTCTACTCCTCAAATGATACTGCAAATTCAACAATGTACTTTGCACCCTCGCTTCTCCCAAATAAAACACACTTCTTCCCACCCCTCCTCTCCCCTTTCCAGACCAACACTCTAGAAGAAGTTTTTTACAACCACTATAGAATTAACAAAAGAAAATTTGCCGCAAAAACATCAAAGAAATGCAAATTTTACAGAAAGGTAACACTGGAAGAAAAAAGAGAAGCAAAGATATACCATAAATAAATGGTATTACCATATACAACACAGTACTGAATTACCACAAATCAGTTCTGAAACTACAAAAAAAAAAAAACTATTATTCGCCTTACAAACACTTTTTATTGGCTCAAAAAGCCATCACTGTGTCCTGTTTTGAAACAGCATATATAAAGAGAAATCTGCTTGAATACTTTTTTAAAAAATTTCATATTATAATGTCGATGACAGCATTGAACCTCAGATTTGTTCTGTAATTTGGCATATTTAACAGTGAAAAAAAATTTGTGCTCCTGGGTAAAGATAAGTTTAGGATTTGACAACTGAACAGAACGGAAATAGTGCCATAAATTATTATTTGTGCATTATAAATTTTGAACTATCACAAAAACTTTTGCTCTTTTTTTCTGCAAAATAAGTGGACGCTTCTTGTTTGTCTTCCAGACGTATAATTATTAAAAGCTCATACTAATACGAATCCATTGCAGCTGAGATGTCAAAAACTGAAGAACTTTAGGAAGAATTGCTGTAAAAAACAAGCATTCTAAACCAAAATGTAGAAAAACACCTAACTCCAAACAAGTAAAAACTATTAATTGCCTACAGATTGCAAACGGCCCGCAAAACCATCACTTTTTTTAGAATGAAGTTAAATACTTGTTTGATCAAAGAAAAAATTAATTAAGATCTGAGCACAAATTCTGTTAAAGCCTGTTAAACATTATAACCGGCCAAATTCAGAGCACATAGCACATGTCACCGAGTACACACGAAGCAGTTAACAACTACTCAACATGTGTAAATAGTGATATTACCAGTCATTTCAACTACTACTATTCCAGGTATGCTCATACTTAAAGACACTAGAGTTCCAAACCAATCCTCTAATGATCATCAACAAGTTCAAAAATAAAAATTTCTCTTTAAGTTACTGTAAGCTGGCTAAACGTACTGTCGTATGATCCTGAAGCTGCAATCATAGAAGAAAGTTGGGGAAAGAATAGACACAAACAAATAAAACCCAACTGCTAAAGTTTTATTGGCATTTCGAAGAAGAAAACAATCATAAACGTCGTCGTCAGAATCAAAAGTGCTTAACTTTGAGAATCAAGCTCCTATTCACTGATCTAGATTGATACAGCACCAAATGTTGAGAAACAACAACATTTCCAAGCAACTTCTCAATGAAACATTTGTTTACCCTGACAGTTCTTGGTAACCCATATCTCACTGCTGCATGAACATTCTTCTAATCTAGCAGATATTTCATTATCAATTAGCAGTTTCCAAAATTCAAATATTATATAACGTAGGTTTAGCCATGTTCCATCACCGTCGCATGACATTCTTTCAAAGGGGTTACGCTCACTGAACTAGTGAATGTACATTTCAGTTACGCGTTGCACAACAAATCACTACAAAAATTAAAAAAATCATTTTCCAAATTGTTGCTTTACATTTCACTTATTCCCCGAGTACTTCAGAATCTCGATACTAGTGTTCAAAATTCCTGTGAGATGTTCAATATTGTGTAGTTGTAGAGAAGCCTCGGTTAAATCATTATTATGTCATATCCCGCGGTTCCACGCTGAAAAACAGGTAGTATTTACCAACTGCAACTGTTATAAACTGAACAAGAATTCCTTGGTCAAGAATAAGAAGACAAAATTAGAATAACTTGGAAGTCACCGACAACCAAAAAACATCGATTTTTAAATAAACTACGGTCTTCTCAGCAAAAAGAAAGAAAAAGAAGTGAGGCGAAAATAGCTGACAGTAACACAATAACTAAACCTGATTGAGGCCTAACAACAGCTAAAAATAAAAACACTGAGTACAGCCTAAATTCTAGATAATTATTAATTTTAATTAGATTAGAGCTAAGTTTCTTTGGAAGAATCTGAAATAAAAGCCACAATATTTTCACTTACAGTACCCAACCAAATTTGCAGTGAGTTACGAACATAATGGTCAAATTTAAACCTCATCATCAGCGACCTGCTGTGTTAGGGAAATACGCGATAAATGTAAGTTCTTGCAAACACACTTTTCTTCTGGCGTCACAACACCTCACTATTACCACGTACCACAGTATCATCCATGAAAACACCTACAAGAGCAGAAAAGAATTCCGTTCTTCTGGCAAAAAAACATCTCGAAAATGTACCGGAGTATATTCCTACGCAGACATCAAAATGCTCTTGAGTTACCTATACTTTTCCAGCACAAATTGCTTCATAGACTGATGCCTTTCAAGCTGTCAAAGTTATAGCAAAAAAATCCCCATTACGACCCTGCGACAGCCGAACATCGTCAACGATCGACTACTTCCCTTACGCTTGGCGATTTACCAGTCGTACAAACAGTAATCTTGCTAATGTATTTTGACAGCAGTAAAATAAAAGAGCATTTGATAGCTTCTAATAAAACACCCCATCCGCTTTTCCTGTAAAACCGCACTTCTATTAATCTCAGCGCCACCCACCCCTCCCCCCCCTCCCCAACGACCACTACAACTTGTAAAAAACCGAAGAC